ATAGTGATTCCTGTACTCTCTTATTGTAGAATCCCCAGAGAAGAACAAAATAGACTTTCCAATGGACGATAATGTCAGGTTCTTTAGACGAGGACTGGTGTGTGCAGACGAAGCCGGCAACAGTGTAACAGTCCCAGTCATGCGGGGATTAAGTAAGTGAAGAGAAGTTTTTATCCATCAACGGTTACGAGTGCATATACGTACATGTTTAATCAAATCTCTCCTGATGATAGGCACAATTATGTTCAAAATGAAAATCAAGGATTGGTATGAGAAACTACAATAAACACAATGAATACAATAAAATCATACTAACACGATTATAGAATAAAATATGGATCTATGACACAAAATTCAGTATGAAATAATGACCCTGATGACAGATATGGATTTTGTTTATAGTCAATATATAACATTGATATGAATTTAACACACAGACTTAGGTGATCGTGGTGGCGTTGAACGTTTCCTCTACACTATTCCCTTCTCTTCACAGGCACCTACACTCCCCAGCGGATTGCTGTGACCGTCAGCCAGGAGCAAGAACTGCGTCTGAGATATGAGACCAATACTGACAAAGACCGCGTGCATTGGCAGAAAGAACCCATTCAGCGGTCTGGAAATTGGTACAAAGCAAATGTTACAGAGAACAAGACATTGAAAATAGCCTACAGTCATCTGAAAGGCTCTGGTCTCTATTCGTTAACTGCTGAAACGAATCCTTTGGTCGAGCAAACCTTAGGAACTTTTTCTGTTATTGTGAGAGGTGGGTCATCTGACATATGCGATCTATAAATATATACTGCCGTAAACAAAAGGCCTATCCTCTCTACTATGCCGCAGTTCGAAGCACTTGAGTTTAGTTGAGTTCACGAAGCAGCCGAAGGAAGTGTTGCGGTCACTCAATAGATGTCGCGCTACGAAGAGTACACGGGGCGGGAGTTGGGCTGGTTCATGATAACACTTGGGGGGGATAAAGATGCATAGAATATGCTAATGTGTTGGATGATATATCATATGCAGTGTCAGCACCGGTATTATAGTCTTGCCGAATTATTATTGCACGTAGTTATTACACAAACATTAGAATTGCATTCCACCATTATTGTTTGTCTATGATAGATCAACCACTTTAATTTCTAATATTTGATCTGCCCCGTTACTCCCATTCATACATTTTATCTGAACAGTTTTATCTAGTATCGAATCGAATGCATCGTAAACCAGATAGAGATGGAGAGAAGAAAATTCTGGAAGAAGGTGATTGTGTAGCTAACAAAAACAAGCTTGAATTTAGGCCTGGCACGGCCCCTAGGCCTGTGTACTTCTACGATTTTGCGTTTTCTATTGGATAAAATAAAACAATAATGATGAATATCGGGACAAGAGGAAATTCCACGGAACAACAACAACAAAATATGAGGTCCTCTATCTCTCTCTCTCTGTCTCTCTCTCTCACTCTCTCTCCCACCCTCCTCCTTCTACCTTTCGCTTCCCCTCTCTCTTTTCCTTTCCCTCTCCCTCTACCTTTCCCGCTCTGCCACCCTCCCTCACTCCTAGATTCTTCTTAAATTCACTCCTCCCTTCCCACTTTAAGCTTTACATCTACCCCTCACTCCCTAACCTCCCCTATCTCCTTCGCCTCTTACCCCCTTCCGTCCCTCTCCCATCACCCTCTTTTTCTCTGAGTCCCTTCTCCCTTGTCCTTCCATTTCCTCTTTCCTAATTTTCCTCTTTATACCCTCTCCGTCTCTCCTTCCCCAACTTTTTCTTTAATCACCCTTCCCCTTCCCCCTTTCCTTCTCCTTCGTGTAAATAATAAATGTGCTTAAACTGACGGTATAATTACTTCAATGCAATGTATTTGTCTCAGAGAAGAAGACTGATAATAAGCATTAATGATGTTAATAATGATTATGGTAATGATAATAATAATGATGATAATTATGACGATGATAATTAACTGATTAAGATTAATTGAAAAAAAATATATAATTGTTGTGAATATATTCTTTCATACTAGGTTTCTTTAAGGTAATGGTACCCTGGAGTTTTGACCATATAGGCTCTATATAAATCCATGTAATCTACAATTCTTTCAGAGTGTCCTGAACGCAGGTACGGCCGCAAATGCAGCGAGTGGTGTCCCGACTGCATGTACGGGGGAGAATGCAGCGCTGGGAAGGGGGAGTGCGTCTGCTCCCCGGGGCTTTCAGGAGACCGCTGTCAGACCAGTGAGTTCTTCCCATGCTGAGGCCTCGTCGACTTTTCAGAAGGACGAGCCATTTTTTTTTTTTTTTTTTTTTTTTAGTTTTTTTGTGGTCATCATCCAAGATGATTAGGTCATGAAGCTTCCTTTTCTCTTATATGCTTTAGTTTATGTACATGTAAAGTATATGTGTGCGAGTGTGAGTTTGCGCGCGTGCGTGTGTGTGTGTTTAAAGGTCTGTGCGCACATATGCCTGAACACAGATTTTTCTTTCAGAATGTAAAGAGAACAAAATTGGAAAAAAATGCAACATTAACTTAGATGGCAAAGGCAAACAAATCTGCCTGCCGGCTCCCTTCGGCTGCCAGTGCGCCCCGGGATACACGGGGCCGAAGTGTCAATCAGGTATTAGACATTTATTCTTTCGAATGAGTATCCTTAATGCTATTGATTTGCGCAGTTGTTGTGTGATATTATATCAAAAATATTTTATAGCCTTTAGCCAAAACACCTTACGCTTTCTCGCCTCGCTGATAATCCTTTTCTATGCCTTCAGAATGCCCCGAAGGCTTCTGGGGGGCTGGCTGCCTCCAGACTTGCTCCCATTGCAAGAGGGGTTGCACTCCGGTCGCTGGGCTATGCAACGAAGACGAGCAAGCAGAATGTGTTGGAGGTAAACATCTGCAGATGTTTAAGTATGCACTGACATATATATATATATATATACATATATATACATATATATGTATATATATACATATATATGTATGTATATATATGTATATATGTATATATATACATATATATGTGTGTGTGTATAAATGTATATACATATATGTATATAAATATATATATATGTATATAAATATATATATATATATATATATATATATATATATATATATATATATATATATGTATATATATATATACATATATGTGTATATATATATATGTATGTATATATATATATGTATATATGTATATATATATATATACATACATATGTATATGTTTGTGTGTATAAATATATATATATATGTATATATATATATATATATATATATATATATATATATATATATATATATATATATATATGTATATGTATATAAATATGTATATGTATATAAATGTATATATATGTATGTATGTATATGTATATATATATATATACGTATGTATATATATATATACATATATATACATATATACATATATATGTATATATATATACATATATATACATATATATACATATATATGTATATATAAACATATGTGCATATGTGTGTATGTATATATATGTACATATATATCAGAGACAGTCTGGTTTTATATCCAGGAAGTCAACTGTAGACCGTGTCTTAGCACTTCGAGTCCTTGTGGACTTGAGTTTCAACAAGGTATGCTTGCAGCTCATGTTGATCTCAAGACCGCTTTCGGAGCCTACTGGGTCACCGTGGGATCCCCTGGGATTATTGGTTTGCTGTCTGGCCTGTATACAAATACCGAGAGTGCTGTCATGTGTGTCAAGTCTGCCTTTTTCCCTGTGTCTGCCGGGGTAAGACGGGGATGTGTCTTGGCCCCAACCCTTCTCAGTACTTGTATGGACTGGATACTTGGTCGTGCCGTGAACCGTAGTTCCTGTGGGGCATCAACTGGTAATTTCAAGGTCACAGACCTTGACTTTGCCGACGATACAGTGATTCTAGCGGAGACATTAGAGGTCCTGGAAGTAGTTCTCGAGGCGCTGCATGAGGAGGCGAAGCCGTTGGGACTCTCGGTCAACTGGACCAAGACCAAGGTTCAGGAACTTGGGGACTTATTGGATGTCGATGTTCAATCTGTGTATGCTTGTGGTGAAAACATTGAGGTTTTGGATAGCTTCACTTATCTTGGTAGTGTAGTGCAGAGCGACGGAGGTTCCGACCGGGAAATCACCCGACGACTCAGACTGGCCTACGGCGTTATGGACTCACTCAATAGGAGTATTTGGCACTGTCTCTTCAGAGCATTGGTGATCCCGGTCTTAATCTATGGGTGAGACCTAGACATTGAAAAGTACTTTGAAGGCCCATCTTGACTCCTTTGGTACTAAGTGTCTTCGGAGAATCATGGGGTATACCTGGAGGGACCATGTATTTAGTCAGAGGATAGTCCGTGAGACTGATTCAAGACCTATTACTTCAGCTCTATGGACATGTGGCTCGTTTCCCCGAGGAAGATCCGGCTCATAGGGTCATCTCCGAGAGGGTTGACCCAGGCTGGAGAAGACCAAGGGGAAGGCCACGGAACTCATGGCTCAAGCAAGTCGATCAGATCTGCCAAGATGTGCTGGGAGTGGGAAGGAATGCTGCATGGAGGCTTGCTCAGAGGGACCCCAGGGGTGGAGGCAAAGGTTGGCCGCGGCAAAGTGCAGCTATGCGTGTGCCCCCTTATGATGATGATGTGTGTACATATGTTTATATACACGAAGGGTCTTCAAAAAGTTCGTGGAAAAAGTATTTTTCAACATATGCTCCATTAAAACTGAGGGTCATGTTATCTGAACTATGAGAGATAACTTGGAAGCTGGTATTACTGTTTTCTTGCTCTCAAGAAAGTCAACCAGCAATTTCCCCTCTGCATCCCAGAGGATAGTGGCTATGACCTTTCCTCTTGAATGCTCAGATTTTGCTTTGACTAGTCCACTTCCACCCCTAGGCAGCCACTGCTTTGATTGAATTTGTCCTCGGGATCGTTCTTGTCGGACCATGTTTCTTCTCCTGTCATAATTCTGCAGAAAAACTTGAGAGTCCTCATCCCAATTGTTCAAAATTTCCATTGAAAGATCTATCCTTGTTTGCTGCTGATCTTGGCGCAACAACCTAGGGGCCCATCGAGGAGAAAGCTTGCGCACACACACACACGCACACACACACTCACACACACACACACACACACATATATATACGTGTGTGTGTAAGTATATAGTATGTACGTATATATATGAATATATATATGCATGTGTGTATATATATATGTGTGTGTGTGCGTGTACGTGTGTGTGTGTGTGTGTTTGTGTGTGTTTATATAATTATACACCCCCCCCCCACACACACGCACATATATATGCATATATATATATATATATATATATATATATATATATATATATATATATATATATATATATGTATGTATGTATGTGTATTATATATACATATATATTTATTTATATATATATATATATATGTGTGTGTGTCTGTGTATACAGTATATGTATACATGTATACAATTTATGCATACATATATGCATACATACATACATGTATACAATTTATGCATACATATATGCATACATACATACATACATTCATATATATATATGTAAGTATACATATATATCTGTGTGTGTGTGTGTGTGTGTATGTGTGTGTGTGTGTGTGTGTATGATGTATGTATGTATGTATGTATATATGTATGTATGTATACATACATACATATATATACATATTTTTCTTAGTGAAAAGTAAATAATATAGGATATTAAATTTGCAACATACAATTCACTGTGTAACTGCTTTGAATTACATTCCACACACACACACACACTTGCGCGCGCGCACACACACATATATATACACGTTGTATAAGTGTGCTTAGTATATTTTTATTTGACAACTACACACGCCACTGTTAAGACTTCGCTAACATTTCCAATTGATCTATATGATATATATGTGTGTGTGTGTGTCTGTGTGTGATTTATAAATACAATTTCATTAAGTAGCAGCTTTAGACGGCTGAGAACCGCGAATTCCACAGCGTCTCTCTCACCTCCAAAGCCTCCTCCCCTCCTCCTTCCAGGTGACCTAGGGCTCCCCCGGCTCCGGAAGCCTCCGAATATCACGGCGATCAAGCATGACAGGGCGACAGTGACCTTTGAGCCCTGGGATAAGGACTACGACGACGGAGAACTGCCCGAGGGTGCATCGGTGAAGAGCTACATCGTTGTGTATTGGGTAAGCGATGAGGTGGACGTGATACTGGTAGAGGGCGTGTATGCTGTCCTTTTTGGTCGTATTTTGACATTTAGTATTTCTTTCTATTATGCTGATCAGTTTTTTTGTTTTGTTTTTTTGTCATCATTTATCATATTGTCATATTTTGCTGGCCTCTGGGATAATGGATGCTGAATTATATTACTTCATTATAAATATTAAGTAGTATTTATGGATATTTAGGGAAACATAATAACTGAAGCTCACAAAAGCTCTCTCTCTCTCTTTCTCTCTCTCCTCTCCTCTCCTCTCCTCTCCTCTCCATTCTCTCTCCTCTCCTCTCCTCTCCTCTCCATTCTCTCTCCTCTCCTCTCTTCTCCCCTATCTCTCTGTATCTTAGGATCGTGTATCATTGCGCTCAAATGAACTTTTTTCGTCCTTCCCGTTATGTGTTTTAGGTGCAAGGTGAGCAAGAGAACGCCTCCAATGTATCATCTTCGAACGGGGAGATACAGCTTCTTGAACTGATAGGAAAGACGAACTACACGCTTAAGGTTCTTGTCCAGGTGGCTGACGGTGAGAGGACGTGCTATGAAGATGGTGGGAAACGGGGAAGAGTCCACGCTGAAGATTTCACAACAATTTGCCCTGACGGTGAGTTTTTTTTTGTGATTGTTTTATGCGTTCTAGTTGGCATACACGTTCGTCTAACTCTTTCTTCCATTTTGTGTGTTTGTATTTGTAATTTTTTGTCGGTATTTTTCTCCCTTCCCCCCCCCCCCCCCACTATCTCTCTCTCTCTCTCTCTCCATCTCTCTCTCTCTCCTTCTACCTCTCTCTCTCTCTTTCACTTATTACATACTTTGGGATTCCATGTACTTTCAAAGCTTTATTATCAGTTGCACTGCTTTTGTTAACAGTTATTTTTGTTCAATTTACAGCACCGCCGGAAGTGAAAGGTGTTCAAACGACCCTGAAAAATTCGACATCTCTGACCATTGAGTGGGAGGTGAGAATGAACACTGGGTTTTATATTATTAATCTTACGAATACATATATACAACATAGGAAATCTCAGATGTTCACCCAGATGGCAAATAGACGATGACTTTTTTCCCTGTCGACAAATGTGTATACTGTTTTTAAGATATTAGACACGGTTTGATGTGAAGCAGAGAAGTCCATTAATGAGTTTCCTCTCCTTCTCTCTCTCTCTCTCTTTCTCTTTCTCTCTCTCTCTCTCTCTTTCTCTCTCTCTCTCTCTCCCTTCTTCTCTCTCTCTATCTATCTATCTATCTATCTATC